GTTTAGCAAAAGACAGAAGGGACGGTGCCGGACGAACCAGGCTTGTCCACAGTACTAAACCTGCTTGTTGGCACGGGTGGAAGGGAATGCGCTGTGAGGTGCATTTCTTTGCTGAGGACCGTGTAATGGGGGAAGAAGCCCTCCATTTTTGGAGCCTAGGGGGGTCCGAGCGAGACGTGGACGATGTTGAGTCCGATGTGCCCTAGCCGTCAGCTTCAAACAGTGCAAGCATTTCTAAGGCACATGGGCCTAACCTAGGCATCTGATACAAGAGGAATGCCTGTAGGAAGCCAACATGGCTTCGCAACAAGTGTCGCATTTTTTTGAACCCCAGTGAGCCCAGCATTGTAAGAGGGGTCCTGTCATCAGTCCTCCTCCACTTTGGTTGTTCAGATTCTTCCTTCTTCCTCTCTCTCTCTTTTTTTTTTTTTAAATGGCCTGAGAAAACAGCCTTTGAACAAGAATATTTTTTAAACCAACGCCGAACTTGCTAACTGTAACTAGAACTATGACTAAGAATAACAACTAACGACTAACTAAGAGTATTCTTCTTTTCTTTCGTGACCAAACAGTTGAGAAGAGCTCACTCTGTCTGTGACCGAGGGAGGCAACGAAGGAACTGGCAGGTGCCAGATGACGCGTGTGAGGAAAAAGGGCGCGAACGTCGCAAGACGCTAACCACGCATGCGCGGTCCGGCTGACTATTGCTGTTCAAAACGCCGATCTGCGACGCCGGGACGACCTGACACCAACACTGGAGCACCCACGGGGACATCACTCGAAGAAGAACTATTTATGGCACTTTGGCAACAAATTTTGGCTTTTTCTACACTGGCATTCATTTGAAATTTGTATTTAAAAATCAGCATTTAAACTCTGATTCAGATTAAATAGCTTCCTGCTTCATCCTAAATTCACCATTTTGTAAATGTGCCTTAGTGCCACCCATTCATTCACACCAGATGGCCAAAGCATGTCAGAAACCAATTTAACTAGAACTGTCTGAACTGTTCCTAAACATGATAAAAATGGCAGTGGAGATAAGAGCCTGCAAATGCTGATGACAAACCTGTAAAGCAGGGGTGAGGAACCTTTTTTGGGTCAGGGGCCACACACAAGTAAGAAGAAAAAAAAATCTTCACTGACGTGGTCCCTGACTGAGAAGACAGACACTCCCCACATTCCTCTTGCACACTAGAGTGTAGTGGAGCCCAGGCTAATAGATTTTGTGTGTTCCAGCCCCACAGGGGACCAGAGCACCATCACAGGCTCCCCAATGCTGGTGGGGGAGCCCTGAGCCTCGGGGCCAGATCAAGGCAAGCCGGGGCCCGCATCTGGCCCCCGGGCCTTAGGTTCCCCTCCCCTGCTGTAAAGAGATCATCATGATACAGGGTTTGTTTGTTTTAAGGATACAAGACAATCTAAACTCATCTCTAGTTAAGAAAGCCTTTGACGTTATGGAAACAAGAATGGATTTTAGTATCAAGGTTTTTTAGTCTTCTCCTACATCAAAATATTAGAGATGCTGCACTGGAAAACCAAAAGTTCAAGGTACCTGGTTAGCATCTCAAAGCAGCCTCAAAGCAGCCTCTTCATTGGACAGACTGTAGAACACAGGAGGAAACCTATATTAGTAACTTTTTCCTTCTAATATGAAAATTACCCCTGACATTTCAATTCTACTAAGCTTCCTAAAAAATATTTTAACTTTTGATAACCTCCAACGGAAAGGATTTTTCCTGATTTAAATGAACTGTAATGAATACAAACACAACACAGAATAATAATTTTTGATGGAAATAAACCAAAGCCCCAATTGTGCAAACACTTATGCATACGAGCAATAACACTGAACTTAATAGGATTATTCACACATGTACTTCACTTTACAAATAGGTTTGCAAAACTGGAATTTTATAGAGCACAAGTACTAATTAGAATATAAAAGATACACTTCTTTAACAAACTCTTAGTTAAGATGCCAATGTAAACTTTATAATGGGTACAGAAATTTAACTTGTTTCAAACACTGAGAGATCTAAAGAATGGGCAAGAGAGTTCACCTTCATAATTTATTTAGAAGTACAGCTGAATGCTTATGCTAGAAGTACTTCTTACAATGTTTTCATCCACAATAGCAACAAGGAGTCCTGTGGCA